GACGGGTCAGGGAAGCGGCTCAGGGTGCTCGCAGGGGGCGCGAGGGAGTGCGGGCGTCCTGGGGTGGAAGCGGGCCTCTGAGGGCTAAAGGAGGCCTCGGGCACCGGGAGATTCAGGAGCGGATGGTGCCTTAACCGCGTCTCCTCCAGCACGCTCACTGTGCCTTTCCGGTCGCCCCTGGAGGCAGAGATGGCCCTCAGGTCCCTGGCCTCACATGCCCAACGCCACCGAGGGGTGGTTCAGAAGGAGCTTACAGTGAACGGCAGCACCCTGGCAGTGTCAGTTCTAGCAGAGTAGGAGGTGGGGAGGGGTGGGGGGCGGTGGCGGCAGGTGCTGGGGTCGCGTCTCTGTCTTAGAGGGCCGTCGTGGAGGCACTGGCGCGTTTAGTGTATGTATGAGGAGGGGGCTGGTGCTCTGCCCCTCCACCGCAGTTCTCACCTGTAACCTCATTTTCGTTTTTGCTCACTTTCAGGAGATGGACTGCTGAAGACCCCGTCTTCTTCCGAGTTTCGATCAACTCCTTCCTCGACCAGCTTTCCCTGGTGATCCGAAACATTCGGGGCTTTGGGTCCCCTCCTCCGGGAAGCCTAGGCCAAGGAAGGGGAGCTGAGGCCTAGTCTTGTGCCCCTTACTAGGCAAGGCACAGGGAGTCGGTACTTGGAGTTGATGGCCACTTTGTTATCAGGGTTTAATTTTTTGCCCGTAGGGGCCCTTGGTCCACTTGGTTTCTTTCCCTGTTGCTAGAGGAACGGGCGCTTGAAGTGTTTGTTACTGCAGAAAATAAAACTGAGCTACCATTTCTGTGTCTTGAGTTTCTTTTCAGCTACTGTGCCTCCGGATTTTCTTGCCTTTTTTCTTTCTCGCGTTGGAAGGGAGGTTCTGGGAGAGAGATTCCAATAGCACAAGGTTCTTGAAGACAACTTAGGGAAAGGAAAATCGGGTCCCATATTCAGCGCTAAATCCTGCCGACATTTTGGAGTGTCTTCTTGGTTGTATTTACACCTTAAACGTATAACAACATATAATGTGTAAATTTCGAAGTTTACCATTAACTTTTTTCCTGTTTTTTTTTTTGTTTTTTTCCATTTAACCTACTAGCTTTTCCAATCTCTAAAACCTCTTCAAAAAATGTTACTGAATAGATACATAAAATGCATTATAAGGTAATGTTGAACAGTTAAATCATTCCCAGTTTTTCCCCAGTTATGGGTAGTGGTTCAGTGGAATTCTTGGGCATAAGTCTTTTTTTTTTTAAAGATTTTATTTATTTATTTGACAGACACAGCGAGAGAGGGAACACAAGCAGGGGGAGTGGAGAGGGAGAAGCAGGTTCCCCGCTGAGCTGGGAGCCCAGAGAGGGAACACAAGCAGGGGGAGTGGGAGAGGGAGAAGCAGGCTTCCTGCTGAGCGGGGAGCCTGACGGGGGCTTGATCCCAGGACCCCGGGATCATGACCTGAGCCGAAGGCAGACGCTTCACCGACTGAGCCACCCAGGCGCCCCGGGGCATCAGTCTTTGCATGAATGGTTATTTCCTTAAGATCGATTCCGACAGGTAGAATTACCGAGTTTTTACTTTCCGTGTTCTTCAGCTTCTCAGCCTGCAGTACACAATTGCTCTCCAGAAAATACGCCCTCCCTCCAGAATTCTGGTCTCCCCACATCACCGCTAGGTTGGCTTGCTGCCAGAATAAAAACTTACTTTGAACGAGGGAAATAAACACAGAAACACCACAATAGGAATTTTGTGGCCTACTGGCCTTGTTTCAGATGAGCAAAGAAGCGCAGCAACAACGGGCTAGGCGTTTGCCTGGTGGGGGCGGGGGGCGGTGTTGGTTGGCTAGCTCTCTCTAAATGCTTGTATCTCGGAACCTCGTTAAACTACTAGTAACATGTAGGTTCCATTGGACTTTCTACCCACATGGTCATGATATCCGTAAGCAAAAGCAGTTTTAGATCTTCCTTTACAGTCGGCATGCCTTTTACTGGAAAATAAATAAATACGTGATGGAGTGATTACTCCTCCTCATGGGGTTGTATTTCCATGCTTCTTTGCATGCCTCGTGATTTTAGGTTGGATGCCAGGCGTTGTGTATTTGACCTTTGGTGCGGTGTCTTTTTTCCTTTTTATTCCTAAACATAAGCTTTGTTCTGGGATGCTGTTATTTGGAAACAGATTGGTTCTTTTACTACTTGATCTTAGCCAAAAGGCCGAGAAGCGATAACAGATTGGTTCTTTTGAGTCTTGCTTTTAAGAATTAGTGGGACCAGGGGCGCCTGGGTGGCTCAGCTGGTTATGCGCCCGACTCTTGGTTTCGGCTCAGGTCATGATCTCAGGGTCCTGGGATCGAGCCCCGTATTGGGCTCCATGATCAGTGGGGAGTCTGCTTGAGGATTCTCTCTCTCTCTGTCCCTCTGCCCCTCCCCCCCCCAAGTAAATAAATAAATCTTAAGGGGGGAAAAAAAAGAATTAGTGGGACCAGAGCAGCTATTGGTGTAGAATCTGTTTTTTTTTTTTTTTTTCCACACCACCGAGGCAAGACCTTTCTGAGTACCCTACCTGATGCCTCCTGAATTGTGAGGTTTCCCATTCTGGCTACTAGTCCCTGTCTTGCGTAAGCGCCGGGCATAGTTACCTTTCATCCTTGCGAGTGGTCCTTTCCTCGGCCTCAGCTAGTTTCCTCACACGCCTGTGCTGACCGGGGGTCTGCTGCTTACTCCAGTGGGACCCTCTGCGGATATGCAGCGTTTCTGTCCCTCTGCAGCTCTCTGGTCTCTGGTCCTCTGCCCTGCCAACTCAATCTCCTGCACTCTCCCCGTTCTGTCTCCTCAAGTCAGGGATTCTGCTGGGCTGTATTTTTTTTTTTTTTTTTTAAAGATTTT